AGTAGAGGGAGTACTCGGTAAAGAGCGCTATCGAGTGGAGGCATCTGACGGGTACTATAATACTAGGTATGGTATGGGCGGCCAGATGGAATAGGTTGTTAGGGAGGGCGTTAAGGCGGACCTGGACAAACTGCGTAATGTGGTGAACTCCCTGGCAAAAGGCTGGTCTCGGAGGAGGCGGAGGCAGCGGAGGAGGACTATCAGAAAGCGGGAGGGTTGACGGCAGGGGGGAGGAGTCGTAATGACCATTTTCATGTTGACTTGGATGCACTGTGCCATGTAGTTGTGTTATGGCCGCTTTTAGTAGGATGCTTTTATCAGAATTATTATCATCATCGTAGAACATGTCGGACTCGTACTACGACAGCGATCTGGTCTGTGAGTACTGTTCGACCAACTTCGACCTTCAGAATCATGTCCCGAAGGTGAGAGAAAATCTTCGCTGTGCGTAAAGATATGTTTTTATTTCAGCTTTTGGGGGTGTGTGGACACAATCTATGTGCTGAGTGCATTGCCTCGTTGGAAGGAGCTCGGGGATTCGGCCGCTTCATGTGCCCTTTCTGTCGGCAGCCGCATCGGCCCGGCGAAATCAGCGTGAATCCTGTGATAATGAATCTGCTTCGCTCCGCTGCTGCTGGAGTGCTTGGCGAAGTCCCCTCGGCCACTAATGGGGTTGGTGGTAGCACTTCAACTGAGGGAGGGTGTACCAACTTGACGGTTACTAGTGATGAGGACGATGATGACGGTGACACTCGTAGTGACACTTTTGATGAGCACGATAGCTGCAACTATAAGTGGTATGAAGAGCGGGGTAGGTGGTGGTTCTGTGACTACAATAAGGATCGTCGGTGGCACTACTTTGGGAAGTGGCTAGCTGATGATGATGGTGGTGAAGGATGGAAGGACTGGGCTGAATGGAAAAGTGAAATATGTCAATCAGAGAACAACGCTTTCTAGAAGCCCGCGTCGTGCATGATCAGAATTAGATGTTTACACGTCCTCCCTACTATTGCCCTTTCCCTGGTCACCCTCCCCCCAGGGCCGTTCAGTGTACAGTAGCATTCTTGTGTATAGGGGATATTGTCTATATTATTATTCTCATTATCATCATCACCGCTCACCGCGGAGATCTTGCATGAGCCGTAGGTGTTGTGTTGAGTCGTCACACATGCCTCTAAGATTCAGTATACCGATCTTCTGTCGGCTCTCTTTCAAGGGGAACATGTCTTCAACTACGCAGGTCGTAGCGGCTGCTCCCGACCGTACTGCAAATGTCTGTGTAGATTCGAAAGTCGCGGCGATCGTCTGTTGACA